TTGTTTAATTTTGCGTATCACAGGTTAGGAGTCCTCAAAATTCGTCGTAATTATTCGCATTTAAATCGCTTTTTTGGCCTCAAAAGTGAGGGGGGTGGTCATCTCAGAAAGTCCGTTGAGGCWCATATTTGGCCATTCTTACTTATATTCGATACCTAATAAATGGTATAAGTTTGGGGTAAATCGGCTGACCCCCATCTTTTCACCCTGCCCYGTTTTCTCTGACAATCACTCATGTCTTCTTGTTTCAAGCCCTGGCAAAAAAGAAGCCGAAATTCCAGCTGCATTAAGCGAAGGAGCCGACAGCCGTCATATCTTATCAATAGCTCAGGACATTATTCATGCTACAACACATGGGCGTGTCAAAACACCAAAGCACGTGGGATTGGCGATGTCAGTACGTCTTATCACGGGCTCGAAACAACTCATCACTATGCTCAATCGACTTGGTCACTGTTTATCGTATGACGAAACTGAACGTATAGATACCAGTTTAGCTTTAGAAGTAACCGCAAAGTCTGAGGATACCGGCGTCTGTATCCCGTCCAATATTGTACCTGGAGGCTTTGTACAAGTGGCTGCCGACAACAATGATATCAATGAAGAAACTCTTGATGGCAAACAAACAACTCACGCCACCACAGTAGTCCTCTATCAAAGAAAGCAATATGGACCAGATCCCAAACCAGCTGTTTATTCTAAACAGGAAGGAAAAAGAAGATCTCTCGACAGTGTGTATCTGACACATGAAATGTTATAGTTTAGTGCACACGGTAAACGACCAGACGTAAAGTGTTACAAAGATAAGATTAATGAAGAGTGGTTTAAGTACGCGGACAGTAGTCAAAGGCTATCTGCTATCCATATGGATCTTAGTTGGTTTTTAACAAGAGTTTGTTCCGACCGTTTGTTTGACGTACAGGCTTCCGACCAATCCCAAGATACAGTACAGCAATCACAAGTTCCACCCAGTTGGAGTGCATTTAATGCAAAGATCTCAGAGAAGKCCTCAGCTGTAACCTCTATTGGATATTGTCCATTTATAAATGGTTCTCCCACAGAATACAGTACCATATACACAACAATGAAGAATGTTCAGGCCATGATGCACGCACTGGGACAAAGAAACACTGTTATAACATTTGATCTTGCAATCTACATGAAGGTAATACTTTACTAGATATACACATTCTGTTACGAAATTGATGAAATTTCTATATTCTTTAGGCAAAAGAAATCGAATGGAGGAGGCCTGAAGAGTTTAAGAACACAATCATCAGGATGGGTGGCTTTCACATAGCCCTTGACTTTCTATCAGTCATTGGAAAGATGTTTCAAGACAGTGGAATTGAAGATATGCTGATAGAATCTGGTATCTACGGCTGCAACAATGCATCTGCTGTACTCAAAGGGAAGTCGTATAATAGAGGAGTACGAGCCCACAAGCTTCTCATGGAGATAAATATATAATGTGAACCTCTTTTAAATCCTTGTTAGCAGTTTTTCTCTTCATTTTTTTGTAATCCTTTTTAAACAATAACTCACTGTAACTATTAATAAGTTTAATCATGTTGATGCTTGTAGGCTTTATTGAGACTACAGTGGCAAGTGTTCAGTCAATGGATTAGAGATGAAGATTCCAGTTTGACAAGAGAAGAACACAGCTACATTACTTTAATTCAAGCTTGTCAAAGTTCCATAAATGACAAAGTACCTTTGCAAGCCTCATTTGCTGCCCTCTGTGAGAAGATACCYAAATTACGAGAACTCTTTTCAAAGTTCATCAAACACGCCTGCAAGCAGTCCAAGCTCTTTCATTTCTGGGACAAATACCTTGAAGCAGTGATGGTCTTACTTCGATTCATCCGAGCAGAGCGAGAGGGTTCTTGGAGTCTACATCTCACCTCAGTAGCAGAAATGGCTCCATATTTTTTTGCCATGGACCGAATTAACTATGATTCAAGGTAAATATAATGTTTGGCGCACAGTATGACTGTTATTGGATTCGATTTGCATTGATTTTATTTCAAGATGGCTACCTGTCTTACATTGCCGAAATGCAGCTGCTGCCTACAAGTGCCCCAGAGGTATATAAAGAATTCTGTAACGGCGACCATGTCATTGCTAGATCTAGTCAACCCTTTGGTCAAGTGTGGACTGATATGGCACTCGAACAGAGGATAAATCTTGACAGCAAATCTTCTGGTGGTATAGTTYGCATCACCCAGAATGCTTCTGCTCTCGAAAGATGGTTCCTTACTAGTCATGAACGTGCAGCGATAACTTCTGCTACGAAGAATATGTGTCAACTCGATGATACCAGCAGAGTTGGTGGTCACAAAGAGTCAAGCAACCAAAGAATTGATCGAGATGAGTCAGACATACAGAGGCTTATCTGCACTATAAAGACGACGATGTCAAATCCGTTTGAGCTTACCGAATGTTCACCAGAAGATCCAATCCCTCTAAGGAWCATTGCYACTGGTACAGTCATGCCTGATGAATCTGCTGATCGCTTAATTGGTTCCTTTTYCARGGGAAGCCAAGKKCTAAAGGAMTTCACAYKAAATCGATTGCAGAAAGCAAGCYCCTCCTTTTGGGACACAATAAAWAAGCTGAAAAWTCCAACGTTCGCATCRCTCTCKGAAATAGSAAKAGTAAAGAGCAAAGACAACAAGATCATGACCATTGCAGCTGACCGCAGCTTGTTTGGAAGACTTCTTGTTGCAGCTAGATATCGCGATGTCAACCTGAMAGATGTGTTTAAYCACGAGCTTTCTTCAGTACCCTTTTCTTTGTCTTARGCAGATGGTTCACTGAGAAAAACAACTAAAAGCGATCTCCTTGAAGACCTTGAAAAAATCAGTCCTGCAGTAGGTCGCCTTAACGAGAGCCAGCTACAGACAGCTTGTATACTAGATGGCATGGCGATGATCCAAATGCTAAGATCTGGAGGTTGCCGCATATTTGGAGAGCTCGCCGAAAAACATTACCGCATAATTTCAAGCAATTTCAACTGTACCTGCACCAGAGTGGATATTGTCTTCGACAGATACGATGTTAGACCTTCGATAAAAGATGGRGAAAGAGTGAAACGTGGTGCAAGCAATGCTTTAGAAATAAAGATCAGCAATAAAGMCACACCAATACCAAAACAATGGTTGAAATACATCTCGAATGTGCAGAATAAGATCAATCTTACTCGCTTTCTTTGTCAAGAGTGGATCACTATCGGTCACAAGGAGCTCCATCCAAGTCAACAGCTCGTTATTGCTGGAGGA